AATTTACTTTTCTTTTAACGTTCGATTTTATAATATGATGGATTGGAGTAACTTCTGGTGAATGCAGATTTTTCAGACTGGACCACATTTTAAGCTAGAAGAGGTTTGGTTCTGAGAAGGTATTTTTCCGTCTTGACATAACAGACTTAAAAACGAATGTTCTGGGCAGTGGGAAATTAAATGAAGCTTGGAAAGGTATCTTTTACTTGCTGAACTAATTTTTGAACAATATATATCATTGGCAAAGGGAAAAAAGGAATTTTAATATAGGTTTGGTGGGAAAATGAGGCATATCTTACTATGAACATTTGCCTAAATTTGAGTTGAAACCTTCAATTCTGAATCGCGTTGTGCCACAAGTGTTATTGCATAACTTGACAAAATAGCTATTAATCTTTAGCTAAAACATGTTTTTAGGTCTAGTTTAGGTGCCACTTTTGAGAATTTTCTGATGATTTTGAGGCATTTTTTCGTACCGTTTACTTTCTTAATTGGATTAGCGAAATAAAGACGACCAGTTTTTGCTGATTACAGAGAGAAAATGCCTAAGAGGTATTGAAACAGTAAGAAGAAGTAATATGCTTCCAAATGAGTGCCAATAGTCCAGGATTTGATGACCCGAAGAACTTTAGAACGATCGTTAAAAAACCTGTATAACAGAGACTGAAATTTGCATATTTTAGCAGCTAACGGCCGTCCAGCAATGAAATGCTGGGAATGGCAGTAAAATAAACAATTTCCTCATTCTAACTGCAATTTCTTTATTAGGATCGATAGTAGCGTTGATGATAAAATTATAAGGCGAAAGTTTTTTCGAGTCCAAAATCGAGTGGAACGCTTTTAGGGAGACTGCCTCTGCCAAAGAAAACCCTGCTCGGGGACACACGTTCAGGATTGAACTCTGCTAAGAAATTTACAAAATTTACGATTTTTCACGACAGCCTCGCGAAATATGCAAAATTTGCAAACCTAACGGTTTTCCGCGATGACCTTGCGAAAACTACAAAATTAAAAAATTAACGATTTTTCGCGATGAGCTTACGAGAAATGGCGCTGCGGATTTTACAATTTTAACGGCAATTGCAAAATTTACAAATTTCACGATTTTTCATCAGTCTTCTGCCATTTTCACAATTTGGTCCCCTTTGTTATGTAAATAGCAGCAAATCCTCAAAGTTGCGCTGCCGATCTTACAATTTTAACGGAAGTTGCAAAAATTACAAATCTCATGTTTTTTCGCGATGTTGCACAACTGTTCTCCCTTTGTTATAAGGCATTTGTTTGTTGTACATAGTTTAATATTTCTTTACCGACAATCCACACTAATACCTCTACGGTTATATTGGTTCCATGCATAATCCATGATCAACTCTAAGCGAGGAGGCGAATATCCCATCATTTTCATATGGGAATCACCCCCTTCCCGACGGCAAAATTTTGGCAAATTCGCAATGCATCTGTGCATGTCCTCCACTGGGCCTCTTTCAAAAGTTCTTTTTCAGTAGATCTGATCATAAAACATATAATTAGTCTCTTTTTTTTTCTCAAAAGGAAACTTTTGTTATAAAATTTGACAACTTACATTCGTGCCACTATATTATTATCATACATGAAATGAATAAGCCGCATTTGACACTATACAGTTTCTGCCTACGGCTTTTTATTTAAGTCCAGTTATTTAGCAGGTAGAAACCTCTTGAGCTGTTCTCAGTGGCTTACAAAAGGGATTTTGGTATTGTCTGGTACCTGATACTTGGCCAATTTACCTTAAATAAAATAATACAGTTAATCTTGGGTATAGTTCGCGCACTAAGCTCACTTAACAGCATTTTAGCATCTTACGAAAAGCGTTTCTAAATTCTTCATTTTTCCATCCATAGATAAGAGGGTTGCATATGGCATTCAAAAACATGGCAACGTCGTAGACGATATTCTGCCGTAGCCTTTGATGGTGGCCGTCCCCGAGTGGTTTGCCACAGAAGATTCGGAGGGATGTCACAACCAGCAAAGCGATGATACTGAGTAGACACAGTGCTACAACAATGGCGAGAGTGCGGGCACCTTTCATGTGATGCTTGACGGTGGGCATCTCTGGAATGTCACGGCCTTGTTTTCTGAGAAGCTGTCTCTGCTTGTAAGACACTATGAAGATGTAGGTGTACGAGCATAAAATGATCAACAGGGGGACAAGAAACATTGACACAGCTTGGAATACAAGATGCCATTTGATGTGGAACACTTGGGAGGTTTTACAGTCTGCTTTCATCACTCTGCCAAATTCTCTGAAATCTTTGCCTGTTGCCTCGTGAAGCACCTTTGGGACAGCCACAATAACGACCAGAGCCCATAGCCACATCACGATGGAAACAATCCGTGCTCGACGTTTGGTCACTATGGCCTGGTATCTTAAAGCGAACTTGATAGCGATGAACCGTTCTGAACTCATTAAGGTGAGATGAAGAACAATGACCGAAAGGAGGAACAAGGTGACAGTTCCAACTACTGGTTTAAGAAAACGTGGAGGATTCCCACAAGTGTATTCAAGGCATAACTGAATGATATCAAGAATCAAGGGAATCGCTAGTAAGCCGTCGGCGATAGACAAACTCACCAGAATGTTGTTGGAGGCAGTTCGCAGGTTCCGAAATTTGTGAAACGCTCTAAGCACGAAATAACTCCCGAGCAAAGCAATGATTGTGATAATCTCATGAACGTTCAACAGTAGAATAAATTGCCACTTCGGTAAGGGATCGCGAGTCGTGAAATTGTTCTGTGTTTCATTCATTGCGGAAGGAAAATTGTGCCACCTATGTTGTCTATACAGTTCGGAACACTTACTCCTACCACTGTTGTTCCGTTTCGTATCATAGTCAAACTATATAAATATTCAGTGGTCAGCCATGGCCAGGTGAAATCAACTTTGTATATGATAGCTATAACAACTATTGATGATGTTCCTTTTGTTTTAATAGCGTCAAAACAAAATACGACGCATCTGCAATAAAGGTAAAATTAAACCATTTCTGTTAACCAAGATCCAATAAACGCGATTGTCCATAAAATATGCAGGTTTATGTAATGTAACTGCCTTAACTACCGCCTTTTAAAACGTCAAACTCTACATTTCCTCGCAAATTCATTGAGAATCCATTAAGAAAGTAAATAGCATGTTAAAATTGCATAGTCTAAAGTTAAATAAAACTAGTTATCAAGCAGAAATTTTTATCCTGACTGCGTTGAACGGTGAAATGAATAAGTACAAAGTCAAATAATTCATAAAAAAAAGAACCTTGTATTTGGCCTAGAAAGAAAAACGAAAAAGAACTGTGGCACTCTTAATAACAAGTAGTTGTACAGCAGGCTTTGAAAGTTTCATAAACTGGTAAGGGCGTCTTATCGAGTTTGCGTGGATAAGTTTCGGCTTAAAATAAATTTTAAATTCTATAGACTGAATGGAGAAGAGCATCAAAGCGAAGGCACCATTGTCACCTGAACAGAAATTGTTTTTATTCATGGAAGTAGACACACTGGCTCGACACCTTCGTTTTTGAGCCATTAATCAAGCGACTAGGGAACGTCAGGTTTCATTTCTAACTTTATGATGCTGTGTTATTGAAAATTAATTGAAACGCGTAAACCACTATGTAGAAAAAAATAATGAGCTCGGAAGGAGAAATAAATTGAATTCATACTTGCTGGCGACAGTTATAAGAAATTAAACTTATTAAAGAGCGGAAGACGTTTGGAGCGGAATAGATACAATAAAGAACGTCCATATTTCTACAGGTGTTCATGTAAAGAAAAGAGGCGACCAAACAGGAAAAATTGGCAAACACCCAAATATGATTGCAAAACTTAGTTTGCCACTTTTCTTTTTCGAATTTCAGAACGCACGGGCAGTTCCTTTAATAAGAATTTTTTACATACAAAAATAGGACTCTAACACCACTCAGCGGCGATCTGTTTGAAGCGTACAGAAGGTGCTTAACCTTTTTATTAGTATATCATTCTGTTTAACTGGAAGAGTGTTTATTTCCGGTTTGAGGAAGTAGGAGACCGCATACTATTAAAGTCGTTTTTCTTTTCCCGCGGGATTCGGGTAGGTATCGTTCTGGATGCCATATGATTTCACGGGTTGGACGAAACCAGTCTTGAACTGGCTGGCTGGCTCATTTGACCTCGATCTCATGTCATAGTTTTTCTCGACCGAGAACTGGTATCTATTTTGTGCGTCGCTCGTTTACCGCAGATAATTTTTGTTTTACTGTATCCTGGCGAGGTGTATCAATACCGTTTTTTCCTTACGGTTTTTGGTATTCGTTATCATTTAAGTTTTTTTTCTAGGAAAAACAAGATAATCCGATAATTAGATTTTGTGTTAACAATGTGTTCGGCACACTGTATTTGCTGATATGGATAAGAGCTACATCAACGTAGATCGACCATCACTTCTTTTGTAAATAACATCACTTCTTTTTGAAAAACTGCTCGCAGTCTTAAGTTCTTGGAAATTTTTTTCTAGTTTGTCTTTACCTTACTTACACATTGTACTGAATAGACACTCATTATCATTGCCCAAAAGCTTCCTTAACCTTGAAGTTTAGTTTATAAAAACCGGGATGAATTTCAGCGGGATTTTCGAGTAACAGCATTTTATTTTAGACCCGGGGATAAACTTAAAACCTCTAGTCCATTATAGTATATTTTGTGGCAAACTATGGACTCATCCTAGTCACTTTTGGATAAATTGGATAAATTTCGTATGGATATAATGAAAGCTGATCATGCACGTGTTAACTGTTAAAAAAAGGAATTAAATATGCCGTTTTTTTTTTTTTTTTCTTCCTATTTTTCTTCCCAAAATACCTAATGCCAGAACTTGCTCCTAAAGCATGGAAAATGTTCGACCCTATTCGAGTAATTTTTTTCTGGTGGCAAATTCTCCAATTAAAACACCAGGCTCTTTAATCCCAGCTTCCAACGGCGCACAACTTCGCGTTTTAAGAGCACTTCAGCAGTTTGCGAAAAGCGGTTCTGAATTTTTCATTTCTCCATCCGTAGACAAGAGGATTACAGATGGTGTTTAAGCCTGTTGCTAAGTCAAAAACAATAAACTTAATTAACTTTCTCTTTGGGTCGCAACGTTCGGGAAGTTCGCCGAAAAAGCGAAGGCCTGTCATGATTATCAGTGGGACGATACTGAGAAGGCAGACGGCTACAACAATAGCAAGAGTACTGGCGCCTTTCATTTCGTGCTTGATGGCGGTAGCCGTTCCTGGAATGTTGTTTTGTCCCCTTATATTTTTCCTTTGTATGTAGGAGACGATAAAGATGTAGCCATATGAACACAAAATGATTACCAAGGGGATGACTAGCAAAAACATTACTAGAAAGATGAGAAGCCCTTTCATTAACGGATTAAGAGCGGATGTCAGTAAATATCGACCAGAGGTCTACAATTGTGAAAAATCGAAAATTCTCAAAAAAATTCACAAAGTAGCACTAGGTAAGCTATTAACATAAATGTAATTTTTACTTCGATCCGATAATTATTTTCCACGTACGGGGGGGTTATTGGTTTCGCGGCTCTCGGACCGGGTTTTCCAGGCCCGAGACCATGTGTCACAAAAAAATCGTTTTAAAATTCAGATCCATTGTGATGTGGACAACAAATAACTTATTCAGAAGAGTACTTAATTGCACACATTTTAAGTGGTGATTTACCCAGTTTGAACGAAAGTGTAATATTTTGGAGATTTTTTATTATTTTCAATATTTTGAACGTTTTCGTTCAATGAAAAAATGGCAAATTTCAAAGCCCAAAATCGTCGACTGGTACCTCGAATTCAGTAACGAGTCTTATACCACGTTAAAGAGCGTTATCTCTTCTTTCAAAATCTGTTTTCAAAACTACGGGCAACTTAAAAGAAAATTTTTGAGGCCAAAAAATACAAGTAGTACTTTTCTGAAATTTGAGCTTTCCAGACGCGGTGGGCCGATGCGAAAAACTTGGAAAAATACAGTAAAAAATCAGTTTGAGCAATAGTGGTTTCATGTTATCAGCTTTCAGAAACCAAGACGTGTTTATACAGCGATCTGATATAAATTAATGCCGTTTGCTATCAAGAAAGGCAGATTTAAGCTGTCAACTCCTGCCAAGTGCACCAGTTACGTGAAGTTGTCAAAGGGAGGGCAAAGCACTAATATTAAAAAGTCTTAAAATTCAAAACATTTTACGTCCATGAAATCATATTTTAGCGAACAAAACAATGTTGTGAATGTCTGTTGTTCGTACCTTAGCATGGTGTTTCCATATATTGGAAATGTCAAGTATACACACGGGAGAACATACCAAACAACAACGTTTCAAATCCAAGCGCCGAAAGATCGTAAACGGCAAAGATTGCGTTACATTTCACAGAATGACCGCTTACCACTGTTGTCACTCCTTTTTTCGCTGGAAGCTACGAGGAGTTTTCATTCCGTCATGAGTGATTCTTGATCAGCGTTTCCTTGAAAGTACGACCCCGGACAGGTGATAACTGAGGACGTTTCGTCAAGACTCCTGTTGTTCAGTTTCAGGCTTTAGCAGGTGCGTAGTCAGGATTTTTCCGGAGGTACGCCCAACTTTTTCTACATCTTCTTTCCCCCCCCCCACCCCAAATCTCAACATTTTTTTAAGGTGCCTTTATTAAAGGAGGGGTTAACGGTTGTAAGCAAAAGCATTTTTGCTGTTTATGAAATGACACAACCTCTAAAATTCTTTAATTCTGTCGGCTTGTTATGTTCATTGACGTCAACCGTTTATCATTAATTCAGCTATTAAAAGTCAAGCTTGTAGTACCGCCGACTTTAGTTTACAAATGACTCTTTTTACCCCTTTTTGTCACATTATTTTTGACCGACAAAAGCACCACACATTGACGTAATTGTGCCCTACTTCGTCTACTCTGAAGACAGGTCGTGGAGAAAACAACGCGTTCACGCTTTACATCATCAAGCTTGCTATATAAATAAATCATCCAAGATTCGGTTCTCCTATTAATGTCGTCGCTTCTCTGGAAACCGATTTTTTTTAGTTATGTTTATTTCATTCTATTTTTTTTCCTCAACGTTTTCGGGTACGCACGTGCAAACCGTGCGTACAAGTAGCTACGCCCCTGTTTAGTCTCCTTAGCCCTGAGCGTTCCTCTCTTGCGGTTTTCGCGGGAGTTCAGGATGTGGTCCACCCAGTATCTCACGTCTCTTTTAAATGAGAGGCAGCACTTCTTGTTTACCGTTTCGTTATCAGACAGCACTTAGGCTCTTAGCCTTTCATTTAATTTTGATCAAATTTTTATCATTTAGTTACTCAGTATACGTTCGATCCTGTCCTTGTAAACTTATACTTTTATACTTTAAGGGAGCTTAATACCTATATTAATTTTTTCTTCGTTTAGTGTCGTCCAAAAGACCCAGTTTTTTGGCATTTTTTAAAAAAGCAAGAAAAAGAAACGACAAGGTTTATTTTTTTTGGACTTAGATTAATTCTTTTAATCTAAAAAATTGGCATTATAACATCATTTCGAGGCATAAAACGTTCGGTGGTGTATCCTCTTTGCTTTTTACCCTTTTTGGGCCTTTTTTGTGAAATTGACCATCACATTTTCTGCCATATTGAGTTTGTGTCGATTTGGTGACCATGTCTTGTTGTTTTCAGTCTCCACGACAATGATGCTGGTGTTTCAGGCCTCCCGTTCTCAGATTTCTTGTGATTTTTCTTTCACCCCACCGACCGACCCACCCAAAACCAGGAAACCTATTCGACGCTAAACGAACGAAAAGGGGATGACCTAAGCCTTATGGTTTCTTTTTGGGCTTCCTCACCACATTGCTTCTGCGTGTTTCTGTATACTTGTCTTTTGCTTTGTTTTGTTCTTTTTTGTCGGTAAAATAAACTGAAACTGTACAAAGACCCTCTATATTCCCTTTGGAGGTTCTCGAACGTGCATAAACAAAATGAAAAACGCGATGATTTACTGACCGCAAGGGCAATGGGGTGGGGTTAGGGCTCGTTACTGCGCTCCGGTTCACTCGCACGCTGTCAAATGGTCCCGAAATACAAAATGAAAAATGGCTGTGGACAGACTATTCACGTCTAGACATCAAGCATCTTTTAAGATGGGACTTATCGCCTCTCCCTGTTCATGGAGTTGCAATTGATTCAAGGTGTTGACGTTAATTTCGTGATGCCCTGCATGTTGCCAGGACATGTTTCAAAAGGGCCTTTCCAAAGGTACGGAGTCCGCCGTCACCTTGTCAACCGTGCGAGAAATGATGTACTTCACAAAAACAAAGAGGAGTTATTTTCGATTTGCCCTGCCCCCTTCCCCCGAAAGTCCCCGACAGGACCGCTTCAAAGTACTCCCCATGTGGTTGCGTGGGGGATAGTAACAGGTCTACCTAATTGCACCGTGCATCAATGACAGTTTAGCTCAATTAGAAGAACCTTTTCCCTGGCTAGTTCAAGGTGTGTGCACCTCCTTTAAGCTGTTGTTTTCGGTTCTTACTGAAATTTTTGATCTTGAGGAAATTCACAACGACAGGAGCAGGTTATGGGCTTTTTTCCTAGCCCTAATCCTACATCACGGGAAATCGCTCAGGTTAGGCAAGAATTCGATAATCCTTCCATAATCATCCATTTTTTCACCGCGTGAATTGGGTATTTTTAGCTTATTTCGAGGAAATACTTTTTGCTTCAAATCCAGGGTGGGCTTTTAAACACATTTTTTAAGCCAAATGGTTTTTGCGAGAATCTGCTTACCCGAACTTTTCGCATAAAAAACGACAAATACCCGAAAAAAGCTCATGTTGTTGGTGGTGGTGGCATATTTCCGATAAATTCAGCTCAATGTCTCGTGAAGAAGAGTTCAGATCCGTGCAGCGCCTCTCGAGGCAAGCGTTCCGTCGAAATACGAGCCCAACAACAGGTGGTAAGCGGTCAATCTGTGAAAAGTAACGCAATCTCCGTCGTTTGAGAGCAGCCGAAGATGATCTTGCAGATGCTGTCCTTGATGGTTTTTATTTCCAGTATCTAGGAACCCCATGCTAAGGTATGAAACATACACTCGTAGGCATTGTTCTGTCCGCTAAAGTCTACTTCCTGGACGCAGAAACGTTGTGTTTTTTGAAGTTTATTATTGTGCTTTGCCCTTTGACAACCTTACGTGACTCGTGCGTTTGGTAGCAGAAGATGGCTAAACTCTGCTTTTCTTGTTGGAAAACGGCTTTAAATTTTATCAGATCGCTCGATAAACACGTGTTGGTTTCTGATAGCTGATAACGTTAAATCGCTGTTGCTCAAACTGATTTCTTATTGCATTTTTCTGAGTTTTTAGCATCGACCCGCTGAGTCTGGAAAGCTCAAATTTCAGAAAAGTACTACTAGTATTTTTTGGCCTCAAACATTTTCTTTTAAGTTGCCCGTAGTTTTGAAAACAGATTTTGAAAGAAGAGATAACGCTCTTTAACGTGGTGTTAGACTCATTACTGAAATCGAGGTACCAGTCGACGATTTTGGGCTTTGAAATTTGCCCTTTTTTCATTGAACGAAAACGTTCAAAATATTGAAAATAATGAAAAATCTCCAAAATATTACACTTTCGTTCAAACTGAGTAAATCACCACTTAGAATGTGTGCAATTAAGTACTCTTCTGAGTAAGTTATTTGTTGTCTGCATTACAATGGATTTGAATTTTAAAACGATTTTTTTGCGACACGTGGTCTCGGGCCTGGAAAACCCGGTCCGAGAGCCGCGAAACCAATAACCCCCCCGTACGTGGAAAATAATTATCGTATCGAAGTAAAAATTGCATTTATGTTAATAGCTTACCTAGTGCTACTTTGTGAATTTTTTTGAGAATTTTCGTTTTTTCACAATTGTAGACCTCTGGTCGATATTTACTGACATCCGCCCTTAAGATCGTGATCCAAAGAATCTTCAGGGTTTTTACAGTGTGGATCCATCGCTTGGCGAAACCGTCCAATGTCTCCACTGTTTGCTACAAGAGTCGTCGCAAAAGTTCGCGTACCGGTCGCAGCAAATAACCACATCGCCAAGGCAACGATCAGTGTTCGAGGATTGGTTACTATGGTGTGGTATCTTAAGGCGAACTTCACGGCGATTAAACGTTCTACGCTTATCAACGCGAGGTGAAGAATTATAACGGAGATGAGAAAGAAGCTGGATATGAAGGTTATTTTTCCAAGAGGACCGGAGCTACACTCAGCATCATAGCCGTTTAACAGTCTAAGACTCATTTGGACGATGCCGAAAATCAAAGGAATCGCCAGTAAACCGTCAGCTGTTGACAAACTTACCAGAATAGCGTTAGAAGCAGTTCGAAGACTATGAAATTTGTGAAACGCTCTAATCACAAGATAGCTACCGAAGACGGCAGCGACAGTGAAGATGAGATGAATGCTCATAACTGAAATTATAATTACCGTTTCCTTCGCCAGGCTGAGGTTTTGAGCAGGGCAATACGTTTCGTTTAACCCACATTTATCCTGGTTACAAGACAAAATTGCTGGCCATGATGTGTTTTCAGACTTCAATGCTGGCTAAAGTTAATTATAGCAACGAGACCAGCAGATCGTACAATGTGGTTTTCCTCTCTAAATTATGCTCAGCTGACTTTTACTTGAATCGTAATCGGGTTAAGAACTATCAGCTGTATGCAAAAGGTCAGAATCAACACGCGGCCCATAAAATCCACACAACAACAAAATGACAACTATTCTTCTATTCGTAGTTAAACCAGTTAGTAGTTAGTTCGATACACTCTTTTGTATATTTTTCCCGCTTGCTTGCATGCTGCCTCTTAACTGCACGGACTCCTTTTTAACGCATACGCGCAGACAAAACCAACTGGCCGGACTAATTCTGATTAGTTTGCGCATAACACAAGATCGTGTAATTGCTATTATTGGAAGGGGTTTGCTTCCCTGTTTCACATGTTAATCAAAAGGATGAGAAGGAAACGACTTTCTTAAAAGCATTGAGAGTTCGAAGTAGTCAACTTTTGCCGTACACTTTTCGAGAGAATTATATTTCGCTATTTTCGCGATCCAGGAAAAATCGCGAAATTTAATACCAGACACACCTATACGCAAAAAATAACGAAATTCAAGATGTTGCTTTATTAGTTATCCCAACAAGTTTATCAGAGTGTAGATATTTACTATGTAACTATCTGTGGGTAGTTACACTGTAGTTAGACCATTGAAGGCCTTATGCTTTGTTTTGTTTAGCTGGTTGACGTTTTGTTCGTAATTGTCTTTATTTTCTGTTTTTTACGATAATTACTTATTCTGCTGTTACTGTTCTGAGTTTAAAGTCGCCTTTACATATTAAAGAACAGAAAAATCGAAAAGTTAAATATTCGCGAAATATGGCTCATAATTTTTCGCCAAATCTAATACTCGCGAAATTAAGTGAGAATAAAGTACGTAAACATGACAGGGACGTCAATCGAACTTGAAGTCTTCGAAGCAAACACTTATTTATTTTGTTCTAAAAGCACAATGTCAAAATCCTTGCTCTTTGAAATACCTCTTGCCAAGGCTATTGCACTCTGAAATAAAACGGAAGTAACGGAGAACTTAGACTTTAGACTCGCCTTGGATGCATGGCTGTGAGGGGCGCATTTTTACGCCGGAGAGGTGGGCATGTCTATGGAAGGAGACTAAACATGGCTAATTACATTTTGGCCGTTCTTTTTTTTTTGTCACTTAAGTCTTTAAACTTGACCTGATGAAGACTACCAGTAGTCTCTTATTTATCCGTTAGAGTTACTAAGTAAATGGGGTGGCACACTTCACAAGCGAGAAGCGCGCGTCACAAGTTTTCCTCGCCCGTTTTGCTCGAAGAACCAAGAAAAACGGGTTTTCTCGTAATGTAAATTGACATCACTCTATCGCTATTTTCTTTTCTTCTTTTTTGGGCACTGCTATTTTCTCTGGATCTACAATACAGTATAATATCAACTTCTTTTGCACCTGAACATCAAATATATTAGTAAAACACACAGAATTTGAAAAAACCATTGATTAGTTTGTACACTAAAGATTTCTTTTTACCCATCATATAGACTGATTGATTGATTTATCTCTTTTCTATTTCTTATTGCTATTTAACACCCAGTCCAGAACAAAAACCTCATAAAACGCGACACTTGCCTTGCAAGGTCCCAGAAACTATAATGCACTTGCAAAGGGATTCAGACCATTTCCAAAATATACTGCTGAGTATTAAGAACACAAAGTTGACCGGCAAGGTGTCCAAAATGATTGAAAATATTTTTAATATAATAGATATCGGAAATCTACTCAATGACTTCCCAACAATGATTTCCCAACATAACCCCAAGTTGTTCCGAAGTTTCCAAAGTTTTATGAACATTTGTAAAGTTTTATCAAGCGCGTATGTTTTAATTAAGATTAATAAGTTATAATAGTAAGGATGTTTTCAACGTTTTGGAGCTGCCACCATCCAGGTTGTCTAAAATAATGAATTCTCAAATAATATGTTAAGGTGTTGTTATGCCAGACAAGGGCTTTCCAGATTGGTCTCGTCTATCTTTATGGTCAATACTCGTATGATCCCACATGTTGTGCTAAGGTTGAAAAACCAAATGGGAGCTAACCAGATTGGCCCAAGAAGGTCATTTAAATCCTGCTAAAATACTACACCAGGTGAAAAGTATCTAGATTGGCCCCTCCTGAATTTACCCCTTCTTCTGATGGTCCGCAATACTTTTGGCCCCAAAACAGTGTAATAATAATAATAATAATAATAATAATAATAATAATAATTTATTCATTTATAGTGCGCTTTTTAACACGCTAGGTCATCAAAAACGCGAAGGTGTTGTACCAAATAGGGGCTATCCGGATTGGCCCCTCCAGAACACATCTCTCCATCGTCATGGTCAACACTCTTGGTCCAAAAAAGTGTGCTAATGTGTTATCCAAACAGGGGCTAACCAGATTGGCCCTTTCAGAATATACCCCTCCATCGTCATAGTCAATAAGCTTTGTCCAAATTAGTGCGCTAAGGTGTTATACCAAAAAGGGACTATCCAGATATGGCCCTTCCAGAACATACCCCTCCATCGTTATGGTCAATACTCTTGGTCCTCATTAGATGCCCTACCTCTCTGTTCACCAGTATTTCATCTCCTCGACTAACAACAACAACAACCAATCGTTACCCCTATTTTAAATCAGCAACAATTTATTTTTCGACTCAGCACGCAAGGTGAGAAAATGATTGATTCATGTGAGATTGCTCGCTTCGAATTTAGACTATAAGAATCACTTGTGTACATTACACATTACAAGTGGTAATTTGCATGAGTTGAAAGCCAGTCGAGTATCGTTAAGAAAACAAAGATTACCATGCGCACTCAGGCATGACAAGCAGAGTAGGCGGTTTTCAAATTCCCGGGGTTTGTCTGCAAGCGTTTCCTTCCTTTCTTCCCCACCCCCTCCCCGCTTACTCGGGCCATTTTTCGCGCGGTCTTTGTTACGCGGTCTTTGACTCTCGAAACAGCACGGAAACGCTTGCTACGCAGGCTACAAAGAATTACACACTTTTGTTATCGCCGAACAATCCGACTGAAGCAGGAAAATTTCTCTTGCAATGATAAGACAAATTACACAACAAGACATAAATTTATTACTCACAAAAACAACTGCTGCCAGGTCTTCTCAAGAAGCCGTAATGACCAGTCATTGTTCGTAAATGAATATAAGGTTAACGTAGGATGACAGTCGTCTTCGCTGGAAAACAAGTTTTCTGGATTTCGCCGAGCAAAACATAAACATCTTTACAGCAAATCCAAACCAATCCAAACCATACTTCACGACTTCTTACGAACATGTGAGTATCTTCACTTTAGGTGGACTTTAAGACTCTTTTACCTTTGTTTCTTTTTAGTTTTCATTGATCGTTAACGAATAAATAAGCAAATTTTCTTTCTTAGTTTTACAGAAAGAACTTTCACTCAAACTACACCATTGTGGCGTGTTTGTAATCAGCCAATAGACTGAAGCCTTTGTTATTGTGTCTCGCGTTACGAGAATTTTGTAGTTAATCGAAAAGCAAGCATTTTTGGCAGCTATGTTATTGCACTTAGGAAGTTTGGAGAGCACTCAAGAAGTCTTCCGTGCTCTCCAAACTTCCCGGGTGCATCCATAACTCGATATACGCACAGCTAAAAGCATGAACAAATTAAAAGCTTAGATTAATTATCATGTCCACAAATTTGGAATATAGAGTTAGAGAAGGTAGGCGGCAGGCCAGCGAAGCTCAACGAGGAAAAGGGCGACAGAGATCTAGAGCAAGAGACAAAGAAACAAAGAAGACATTTTTTCGTTGGAAGAACAACATGAAAATCTTGTAGCGGAGGTGAGAAGATGAGAAACGCTAGAGGGCCACCAATGGAAGGTGAAAATGAGCGGCAGTGAAAAAAAAAAAAGAAGTGAACGAGAATACGTACGAGAACGTGTAACTAAGACCCTGTTTACATGGAGTGGGGGGCCCCGGTCTAGTGGGGTAGGTTTCTTTTGTTTTGTGTCCCCTAGAGCGTGAAAACAAAAGAAACCAACCCAAGATACCGGGGTCCCCCACTCCATGTAAACAGGCCCTAAGAAGGTTCTGGAAGTTTCACGTTGTAGTCGTGCAAAACAACGGCAAAGAAATGTACAGAAAAATTGTGCTGCACTTGCAAAGTTGCATTTTTGCTAATTACACAAATTGTTGTTTTTTCACCGTTCTCCGGCGTTGCCTTCGCCGCTTAGCATTACATCATTTTATATTTGGTTTGAATTATAAATATTATCGAGCGCTTCGCTTTTAGCCCTGGCTAAATCTATATATTATTCAAGTAATTCAGCTCTGTCTTGGAAAAAGACAATACCTTCTTGATATCGACCAGCTGTGCGGCAGCGGACTGATAATTTTTATACGAGGAGGCTCCGCCCCGTGGTCAAACGCCTTAACCTTTCATTACCACATATACTATTTTTGACAGAAAAGGTACCCCTTTCGTATACCCTTCTACTGACAAATGGTACCCTTTTCACATAGCTAATTTAGGACGCTACATTGCTTTGAACTGCTGCAAATGTACTGTCCTTAAAGGGACAGATTCACGGTTCAGCGCATGCTCATTTATCAAAATGCTGTTTTTCTGCCGGGACATGCTGTATCGTCTATGCAAGCAATATGATCATGTCATTTTGTTGTCAAAGAACCAATCTGCACTCTCCCCTGGTAGTCACTTGCACTTGATCAACTTAAGTATTTGCAAATAGCTGTAAATTAATCAGCCATGGAATAAAACAATCGGGTCAACAATAAATTCAACGTTGTTAGTGTTGGCATAATCCACTATTTTTTTTCGGCGATTTTAGTACTCCTCCATCCTACTTCAGGCTCCTCTGAATACAATTCCGCACCGGAACATGTAGTTTGCTCGGGCGAGTCGTGTCTTTCTCAAGTGAACAATAGCCGTCGAGCAAATGTATTTCCAGCAGGGGTGGCTAACTTCGGTAAAGCTATGTATCGGTCCCTAGAAAGGTCAACCCAGGACACCCGGGATGGATTTTTTTTGTACAGTGCCCAGGCCTCATTTTCTTGGCCGCGCGTTGATCTGGCCCGGCTACTTCGGCGAGCATATTCTCGGCCTTTTTGGATTACATCCTTCGAGTTTGTCAAAGTCTGCGGGATTCGTTTTTCTATCTGGGAAAGCTTCATTGGTTTCTATATCTGCTGCTATGCTATTATTACACTCCTTGCATGTTTATTTTCTGTCGGAGTTCGGATTTCGTGGAAAAAGTTGCAGTTGAATGAGGGCATAGAGGCGAAGATGGCATCTCGTGTCTCGTACCTTGTATATTATTATTGTATATAGAGTGAATTTGAACAAATTGTCACGAAACTTCGTTGGAGCATTATGGTTGAGGACAACAACAACTAACTGCAGAGTAAGTTTCATTGATCTTTATTTAGTACTTCGTAGAAATTTTAGGATCGTACTTTTACCCCATACAAACACTGTAATTTTACTGGAACCGTGTTGTGGTACTATCACAGAGCCTGGGTTGCCTGTGATTTTACAATTTTAACGAAAATTACAAAAACTACAAATTTCGCGTTTTTTCGCGATTTTGTCACAACTGTTCTCCCTTTGTTATAAATCATTTGTTTGTTTTACCTAGTCATTTCTTTACTCACAATCCACAATGATACCCCTATGGGTAAAGATATCACATTGGTTTCAGTCATGATCAATCATAAGCGAGACGACAAATATTCCATCGTTTTCATTTGGAAGTCACCCCCTTCCCGGGGCTCCCAACAGATGTTCTTTGAACCGTGTGCCTAAACGGTATATGCGTTTTTGTGGTTTGTTTTTGGGTATGGTATTTCATTGCATGATACCACGAGACTGGAATGTTTGAAATTAATTCTAAACTTTTATGGACAAATTTTGTTTCTTCACCATGCTATCTGCATAAGCACGAATGAAATTGCGCAGCTTTTTCTTTTACAACATTTAAGAGTTAAAATGGGTGTGCATGGGGGTGTTGGAATCGCCGTTGGTTTTCCTCACCCGTATCAATAATTTTTTGATCAAGTCTCAGCACTCAGTTAAAAATCCCTCTTTTCTCTGCTGACAGTAAAAATGTTGACGAAATCGCAGCTATCAGTTTATGTCCTTCATTGGGCCCCTTGTAAAACAAACATCATGAGGAGATGGAATCATAATGTCATTTTATTTCGAGGCATTTCCCGTTTCTTATCAGCAGTGTGCAGGCGGTGGTTCCCTGGCCAATCACGAGTTCGAACGTGTTTAGTGCTGTGTCTCGCACGGCCCTTACAACTATTACCATTAGCCTGTACTAGTGAAGTTTCTGTTCTACGAATAAGACCTTTTTATTGTGAGTCTTCCCAAACAGTTGAGATTCTTGCTCGGGTCATCTCTTCAGCAAACCAGTGCGCCACCATGCGGAGCTCTCGATCGTTTTCGTAAATTCGGTTTGGGAAGACTCGCAACAAAAAGGTCTTATTCGTAGAACAGAGTCTTTTTTTTACTCAAAATGAAACTTGTTACAAAATTTGACCAACTTACATTCGCCCCGCTATATTATTACAGTTCCTACGTAGGGCTCTTTATTTGAGTCTAGCAATTTAGCAGACAAGAGACGAAAGGTACAAACCAAATTGAGCTGTTCTCGCTTGCAAAAGAGAGTTTGGTATCGTCTGTTACTCGATACTTAGCCAATTTGCCTTAAAGAAAAGTATATTAAATCTTGGATATGGCCTACAATACCTAACGGCGTTCATGTGCTAAACTCGCTTAGCAGCACTTTAGCATCTTGCGAAAAGCGTTTCTGAATTCCTCATTTCTCCATCCATATATGAGAGGATTGCATGAAGCGTTCAAAAACATGGCCACCTTGTAAACGATATGCTGCAGTAACTTTTGATGGCTGTGGCCTGCGAGTAATTTGGCCCAGAAAACTCGGAGGGATGTCACAACAAGGATAGGAATGATACTGAGCAGACACAGCGCCACAACAATGGCGAGAGTTCGGGCGCCTTTCATTTCGTGCTTGATAGTTGGCATTCCTGGAAAGTCGCGGCCCTGTTTTCTGACACGTTGTCTCTGCTTGTAGGACACTATGAAGATGTAGGTGTACGAGCATATAATGATCAACAGGGGAACAAGAAACATTGACGCAGCTGTGAATACAAGATGCCATCTCATTTGGAGCTCTTGGGCTTTATCACTATCTGGATGCATCTCTCTGCAAAATTCTCTGGAATCTTTGCGGCCTGGTGTCCTAAGCGTCCATGGAAGAGCTATAACAATGACCAGAGCCCACAGCCACACCGCGATGGAAACGAACCGTGCTCGGCGTTTGGTCACTATGCTATGGTATCTTAAGGCGAACCTGATGGCGATGAAACGTTCTGAGCTCATTAAGGTAAGATGAAGAGTAATGACCGAAAGGAGGAACAAGGTGACAGTTCCACTTACTTCTTTAAGAAGTGAACAATGCCCAACATTATACAACTGAAGGAACAAACGAATGATATCAAGAATCATGGGAATCGCTAGTAAGCCGTCGGCGATAGACAAACTCACCAAAATGTTGTTGGAAGCAGTTCGCAAGTTGCGAAATTTGTGAAACGCTCTTAGAACGAAATAGCTGCCGAGGACGGCAGCGACTGTGATAATCCCACAAAAGCTCAACTTTAGAATAATTTTCCAATTCGGTAAGGCATCGCCAGTCAAGCAATTCTTCGACATTGCGGGAGGGAAATTGTGCCACCTATATTATCTATCGTTTTCGGAACACTTACTCCTACCACTGTTGTTCCGTTTCGTATCATAATCAAACTATATAAATATTCAGTGGTCAGCCATGGCCAGGTGAACTCAACTCTGTATATGATCAAAGGATATTAGATAACGATATCAACTATTGATGATGTTCCTTTTGTTTTAATAGCGTCAAAGAAAAATACGACGCATCTGCAATAAAGGTAGAATTAAACCATTTCTATTAACCAAAAACCAAATCAACGAGATTGTCCATAAAATATACAGGTTAATGTTGGGTAACTTTCTTAATTACTGCCTTCTACAACGTCAAACTCTAAATATCCTCGCATATTGATTGAGAATCCATTAAGAAAGTAAATAGGATGTCAAAATTGCACAATATAGAGTTGAGCAAATAAAACTAGTTATCACGCATTGTGTTCTTAATATATATTAAACAACTGACTGCGTTCAACGGTGAAATGAATTTGTACAGAGTCAACTTATAATTCATAAAAAAGAACCTTATATTTGGTCTAGAAAGAAAAACAAAAGAACTGTGGCACTCTTAATAAAAAGTGGTTGTAACAGCAGGCTTTGAAAGTTTCATAAACTAGTAAGTGCGTCTTATCGAGTTTAAAATACAAGGAACAACATGTACGAAGTGCGAGCTTATTCAGTAACAGATCTAAAAACCTCTCCTAAATACTTCTTTGAATTAATATTATTATTACTATTATTAATAAAATAATAATAATAATAATTACTATTATTATTGTTATTATTATTATTATCATTATTGTTATTATTATTATCATTATTATTATTATTATTATTATTATTATTATTATTTAAGAGACTATTAAGTCAGTTTATTAATATCAACATCAGAATCAGCTTTACGCGTAAAAATACATGGGTCCTGTTTCTTTGCGACTGTGGATAAGTTTCGGCTTAAAATAGCCGTTTTAAATTCTAATATGCACTGTCAGCTGGCAGCTGAACAGAAATTGTTCTTGTTCAAGGAAGCAGACACACTGGCTCGACACCCTCATTTTTGAGCTATTAATCAAGCGACTAGGAAACGTCAGTTTTCATTTCTAACTTTATGATGCTGTGTTATTAAAAATTAATTGAAACGCGTAAACCACTATGTAGAAAAATAATGACTTCGGAAGGAGAAATAAATTAAATTCATACTTGCTGGCGACAGTTATAAGAAATTAAACTTATTAAAGAGCGGAAGAAGTTTGGAGCGGAATAGATACAATAAAGAACGTCCATATTTCTACAGGTGTTCATGTAAAGAAAACAGGCGACCAAACAGGAAAAATTGGCAAACACCCAAATATGGCTGCAAAACTTAGTTTGCCACTTTTCTTTTTCGAATTTCAGAACCCACGGGCAGTTCCTTTAATAAGGATTTTTTACATACAAAAATAGGACTCTAACACCACTTAGCGGCGATCTGTTTGAAGCGTACAGAAGGTGCTTAACCTTTTTATTAGTATATCATTCTGCTTAACTGGAAAAGTGTTTATTTCCGGTTTGAGGAATTAGGAGACCGCATACTATTAAAGTCGTTTTTCTTTTTGCGGGATTCGGGTAGGTATCGTTCTGGATGCCAGATGATTTCACGGGTTGGACGAAACCAGTCTTGAACTGGCTGGCTGGCTCATTTGACCTTGATATCATGTCATAGTTTTTCTCGGTCGAGAACTGGTATCTATTTTGTGCCTAGCTCGTTAACCGTAGATAATTTTTGTTTTACTGTATCCTGGGCAGGTGTATCAATACCGTTTTTTCCTTACAGTTTTTGGTATTCGTTTTTATTTAAGTTTCTTTTCTAGGAAAAGCAAGATAATCCGATAATTAGATTTTGTGTTAACTATGTGTTCGACACACTGTGTTTGCTGATATGGATAAGAGCTACATCAACTTAGATCGACCATCACTTCTATTGTAAATAACATCACTTCTTTTTGAAAAACTGCTCGCAGTCTTAAGTTCTTGGAAATTTTTTGTAGTTCATCTTTATCTTACTTAAACATTGTACCGAATAGAACGCTCATTATCACTGCCCAAAAGCTTTCTTTACCTTGAAATTTAGTTTATAAAAACCGAAATAAATTTCAGCGGGATTTTCGAGTAAACGACGAAAAAAGCTGGATATGAAAGTTATTTTTCCAAGAGGACCGGAGCTACACTCAGCATCAGAGCCGTTTAACAGTGTAAGAGTCATTTGGACGATGCCGAAAATCAAAGGAATCGCCAGTAAACCGTCAGCTGTTGACAAACTTACGTTAGAAGCAACAACGTTAGAAGCAGTTCGAAGACTGTGAAATTTGTGAGAGGCTCTAATCACAAGATAGCTACCGAAGACGGCGGCGACAGTCGAGATGAGACGAAAACTCATAACTGAAATTATAATTACTTTTTTCTTCGCCAGGCTGAGGTTTTGAGCAGGGCAATACGTTTCCTTTAGTCCGAATTTTTCCTGGTTAAAAGACAAATTGCTGGCCATGATGTGTTTTCAGACTTCAATGCTGGTTTTAAAAAGTTAATTATAGCAACAAGACCAGCAGATCGTACAATGTGTTTTTCCTTTCTAAATTATGCTCAGCCGATTTTTATTTGAATCGTAATGGGGTTAAGAACTGTCAGCTGTATGCAAAAGGTCAGAATCAACAACCGGCCCATAAAATCCACAAAACAACAAAATGACAACTAATCTTCTATTCGTAGTTAAACCAGTTAGTAGTTAGTTCGATACACTCTTTTGTATATTTTTCCCGCTTGCTTGCATGCTGCCTCTTAACTGCGCGGACTCCTTTTTAACACAGACGCATACGCGCAGACAAAACCAACTGGCCGGACTAATTCTGATTGGTTTGTGCATAACACAAGATCGTGTAATTGCTGTTATCGGACAAGGTTTGCTTCACTGTTTCACATGTTAATCAAAAGGATGAGAAGGAAACGACTTTCTTAAACTTTTGCCATACACTACCTTTTTAATCTCGCGAGAATTAAATTTCGCTATTTTCGCGATTTGGGAAAAATCGCGAAATTTAATACCAGAGATATATACATACGCATAAAATAACGAAATTCAAGATGTTGCTTTATTAGGTATCCCAACAAGTTTATCAGAGTGTAGATATTTACTATGTAACCATTTGTGGGTACTTAGAGCCATTCGTGGGTACTTACAGTCAAAAACTATTCATCACTTTCAAAAAAGACGCGCGAAATTTTTACCTCCGTTGTGCACCCTATCAACATGAAAACTTGATACAGAGCGTTCGTTTGGTCAATAAAGGAGGGAACAATTAGCAAAAATAGAAACAAAGAAACATCCGACCAAGAGCACGAAAAAGAAAGTCGAAAGTCCCCATAATTAACGGACCCGGTAAGCTGTCTCCGTTTACATTAAAGATTGAGGTTTCAATAGTTTTGCATCTAACATGATAAAAATGAAGCAAAATGGAGTAGTTTGCAAGCCAGGACAGGCGTTCCTATTCTTTATAATTTGATTTGAATGTTTGATTTCGGGCCCGAAGAGTTACCGGGACTTTCGAGAAACGGGCCTCTGGAAACCCTGGGGAAGTCTCTCCAAACTAGAGGTAATGTTTTAATTTGCTATTGAAGGTGTCTATTTTGCTGATTTTTAGGTTTAAAAAATCGGTATTTTAAAAATTTTAAAAACTTTTGCTGATATCCATCAAACCTATACTGCAATAAAATCCAGCTCCGGATCGAAAAGTTAAGAGGACCTTCGAGTAACAGCTTGCTCGCCTTAATATAGCGGCGTTATGAGTTCGCCTGGCCGCAAACTGCGGCCCACTTCTTAACTCATGTAGCTTTTATCAAGAACGAGAAGTCCAAAGGCTACTGCAAAGCCAATTCAGAACAACTGGTATTGTTCTTTCATAACAATATTTCGGCTGGCCATACCAGCCTTCTTTAGGTTTACAGATGTTACTGTTACAGATTTTTACTTTTTATCAACCATTCACGTTTTGGCGCCCTCCAAAGTTCATTTAATTCCTCGAATCTCAAATATGTATCGATATATGGTAAGTGTAAATTCGCTAGATATAGCAAAGATCACGTAAATTGTCATACGCTCTGAAAGCATCAATCGTAGCTCACACTCGCGAATTATACTGACGAGATGCCTGCAGGGTTTGCATTCCTTCGGGAAGTGCGCCACTATCTTGTTCGAGTTTTTCTATGACAACTTGACTTTTAGAAAACGAGGACAAGTAGTTGTTTTGTTTTAGAAGAAACCAATTAGCAAACTAACTTTCATTCTATACTAGGTTTTGATGAAAATTTGTAAAAAAAGAAGCCTTTTAATTTATACACATCTTGAATTCACAAAACGTTGAGAAAAAGAACAAGAAAAACCAGGTTCAGCTCATCGCAAAAGTTAGTTCTTGTAAAATATAATACAAAAAACGCCCATTCGCAAAAAACAAAGTGCCACAGGGCGTAGACATGCAATTAATAAACGAGGAAGGCTCTGTTTGATCAGCATATTGCAATAAGAGGACGTTTTTAGTCATGGAAAGCAGTTATTTTTGGTAAAGATAAGAGCTGGATACAAAATTTGAAGTGGAGCACAATGGGTAAGAAAATGTGGTAATCTACCCGTCCGAGAAATTTTGGCAATCACGTGACCGTACGTCCAATGTAACAATAACGGTCATACCAATGTAAAATAACTCCATCAACAGTTATGGCAACCCAAATGCAACTCAAGGTTATTTTGGCGGGAAATCGCATAGCCACTCGCGGTTTGTAAAGCAGAGACAACTAAAGAGTCAATAAAGACGAAAACTGAAAGCGGAAATTGTTTCTGTATCCGTGTTGTCTAAAGTATTAAGCTTAGATTACTTGTCACGTCCACAAATTTGGAATATAGGGCCAGAGAAAGTAGGCGGCAGGCCAGCGAAGCTCAACCAAGAAGAATGGCGACA